TCCCTCGGTATTTTTCCTGGCAAGATGCTCACTCAGCATCTGGCCCAGCCAGGTCATGCATTTCATAGCTTCCTCCTGTTGTCCTTAAGACTTTCTTTGAGCAATCCCATGAGCACTGAGCTCCCTCAGACTGGTAGAGTATGGTATCTGAGGGGCAGGACCCCTTCACCCTGAGGACAGTGGCCACAGCCAGGATTCTGGTATGTAGGCAAAACCTGCAGAACAGAGACTCATAGAAAGTCTTCCAGAAAACTGCAGGCCATTCTCAAAGCAGAAATTACACTCAAGTCTCTGCTCATAAGACAGCAACCTGTGGGAATATCATCCTCTTCATCTCACCACCATGTTGCTGTGTCCACTTGTAAAACACAGACTCCTCATGAGGTGACTGCACTCCAGACCTTACTGCCTGTGCTAGGCTTCTGCTTAGGGTTGCTCTCTACTGTTACCATGGCATTCCCTTAGTTTGTCTGCCACTCCTGCAGGTGTGCTTGATGCCATCCTAAGATGTCCTATTCTATGATTTGCTTACCAATTACTTTCCTAGACAAAGGCCTTTCTGCACAGTAGCCATAGGTCTTGACTTTGGGGAAATAACAGGAAGCTGCAAGAATATTTGCCTCCAAAATGGGATGAGAAAGAACTCAGGCAAGTCCAATGGCTACCGACTAAAAATCAACATTGTTTCAGATTGCTGTTTGTTAACTAAGTGTGTAATAAAAAGTCTCTAATTTCAACTTGCAATGTGTGTGTTTGTTAAACTGCACATGGCCGGTGCGGTGGCTCACTTGGCTAATCCTCCACCTGCGGTGCCGGCATCCCATATGGGCACCGGGTTCTAGTCCCGGTTGCTCCTCTTCCAGTCCAGCTCTCTGCTGTGGCCCGGGAAGGCAGTGGAGGATGGCCCAGGTGCTTGGGCCCCTGCACCCACATGGGAGACCAGGAGGAAGCACCTGGCTTCTGACTTCGGATCGGCGCAGCACCAGCCACAGCAGCCATTTGTGGGGTGAGTGAACGGAAGGAAGACCTTTTTCTCTGTCTCTCTCTCACTATCTATATCTCTACCTGTCAAATAAATAAAAACAAATAAACCAACCGCACATGGCATTCTTTTCTAAGGACCTGAAGTAGTATTTAATTAAGAAAATTTTCTGGGGCCAGCACCTTGGCTTAGTAGGTTAATCCTCTACCTGCAGCGCCAGCATCCCATATGGGCGCCAGTTCTAGTCCCAGCTGCTCCTCTTCCAATCCAGCTCTCTGCTATGGCCTGGGAAAGCAGTAGAAGATCACCCAAGTGCTTGGACCCCTGCACCCACGTGGGAGACCCAGAAGAAGCTCCTGGCTCCTGGATTCAGATTGGCGCAACTCTGGCTGTTGTAGCCATCTGGGGAGTGAACCAACGGAAGGAAGACCTCTCTCTGTCTCTCCCTCTCACTGTCTGTAACTCTACCTCTCAAATAAATGAATAAAATCTTAAAAAAAAATTTCTTTTTTAGTAAGAATTATTTATGTGAAAGCCAGAGTTAGAGAGAGAGAGAGGGCAAGACAAAGAGCGAGAAAGAGAGACAGAGATCTTACATCTGCTGGTTCACTCCCCAAATGGCTGCAACGGCTGGGGCTGTTCTAGGCTGAAGTCAGGAGCCAGGAACTTCATCCATGTCTTCCACATGGTGGCAGGTTATTAGCAGGGAGTTAGTTTGGAAGTGGAGCAGCCAGGACTTGAATACCAGCACCTAATGGAATGCTGGTATTGCAGGTGGTGGTTCAACCTACTGTGCTACAGCACTGGCCCCTAGAAAAAGCTTTTTTGTTTTGTTTTGTTTTTATAAAAGATTTATTCGTGGCTTAGCAGGTAAAGCCTGTTTGTGGCGCTGGCATCCCATATGGGATTTGAGTCCTGGCTGATCCACTTCCACTTCCAATCTAGCTCCCTGGTAATGTGACTGTGATAGCACCATAGGATGGCCTAAGTTATTGGGCCCCTGCACCTACTCCTGGCTCCTGGCTTTGGATCAGCCAAGCTCTGGCCATTGCAGCCATTTGGGGAGTGAACCAGAAGATGGAAGACCTCTCTGTTTCTGTCTCTCTCCCTCTAACTCTGCTTTTCACATAAATACATAATAATAAATACATAAAAGATTTACATACTTATTTGAAAGGGAGAGAGGGAAACACACACACACACACACACACACACACACACAGAGCGGGGCGGGGGGTATCTTCCATCCATTGGTTCACACCCCAAATGGCCGTTAATGGCCGGGACTGGGCCAGGCTGAAGTCAGGAGCCTGGAACTCCATCCAGGTCTCCTATGTGGGTGGCAGGGACCTAAGGACTTGGAGTTTCTTCTGCTGTTTTTCCAGGTGCATTTCCAGGGAAATGGATGTGAAGTGAAGCAACCAGGACTTGAACTGGCACACATATGAACTGTTGGCATCGCAGGCAGTGGCTTAAACTGCTGTGCCAACAGTGTCAGCCCCCTTGGAAAATTTTTTTGAAGAAAACTTTCTTGACTTAAGAAAATCATGTGTTGGGGGCCGGTGCCATGGCTCACTTAGTTAATTCTCTGCCTGCAGTGCCAGCATCCCATATGGGCACAGGGTTCTAGTCCCAGTTGCTCCTCTTCCAGTCCAGTTCTCTGCTGTGGCCCAGGAAGACAGTGGAAGATGGCCCAAGTGGTTGGGCCCCTGCACCCGCATGGGAGACCAGGAGGAAGCACTGGGCTCCTGGTTTCGGATCAGTGTAGCTCCGGCTGTAGCGGCCATTTGGAGGGTGAACCAACAGAGGGAAGACCTTTCTCTCTGTCTCTCTCTTTCTCACTAACTCTGTATAATAAAAAAAAAAAATCTTCTTTATGGAGAGGTTTAAAAAAAAATAGAGGTTGGTGCCGCGGCTCACTTGGCTAATCCTCCAACTGTGGCGCTGGTACCCCGGGGTTCTAGGCCCAGTTGGGGCTCTGGATTCTGTCCTGGTTGCTCCTCTTCCAGTCTAGCTCTCTGCTGTGGCCTGGGAAGGCAGTGGAGGATGGCCCAAGCGCTTGGGCCCTGTACCCACATGGGAGACCAGGAGGAAGTACCTGGCTCCTGGCTTCAGATCAGTGCAGTGTGCCGGCTGTAGCAGCCATTTGGGGGGTGAACCAACGGAGAGAAGACCTTTCTCTCTGTCTCTGTCTCTCTCTCTCACTGTCTAACTCTGCCTGTAAAAAAAAAAAAAAAAAAACAAAAAAAAAACAAAAAAAAAACATGTGTTAAGTGTCACCTTTATTTCAAAGTACTTTCATTTTGACAAGCCTTTGTCTCCTTGAAATAACTGAGTCAAACATTTCCACACCTTATTGGATATTCTAAGCTTCTGTGAGTTCACAACCTGCCAGTCAGATATTTATTCTCACCTAATGGCTGCCCTCATTCCAAATTGCACCTTTACTCACACAATTTGCCCTACTTTGACTGTGAATCAACCTCCCACCCATGCAAATAGTACATATGTCTCAAGGTCCAGTTTTAGCTTTACATTATCCACAAAGCGCTCTCTCGCTCTCTCGTGCGCACTCTCTCTCTCTCATACACACACACACACACACACACCACCAAGTTGATATATATCCCAAATTACCAGAAATTGCAGTCCAAGATACATGAATATGCTTCAAAAACTTCATGGAAAAATCAAAGTAAATGATAAATTTGGTGCAAAAGAATTTTGAAATCTATGCATAGATTCTTCCTACCATGCATGCTCATCAACTTTTTGAAGATCCCTTGTATGCATGGATTTCAAATTTTTTGCACCAAAATAAGTTTATCTTTTAATTCCATTTTCCATGAATTTCTAGACTTACTCTTGCATACCTCAGAGATGTGTGTTCTTCTGTATACCAGGATACAACTAATAATTATTTTTAGAAACAACCAAGATGGGCCAGTGCCTCAGCTCAATAGGCTAATCCTCCACCTGCAGCGCTGGCACACCGGGTCCTGGTTGGGGCGCCAGATTCTGTCCCGGTTGCCCCTCTTCCAGGCCAGCTCTCTGCTGTGGCCAGGGAGTGCAGTGGAGGATGCCCTGTACCCCATGGGAGACCAGGAGAAGCACGTGGCTCCTGGCTTCAGATCAGCGCGGTGCGCCGGACGCAGCAGCCATTGGAGGGTGAACCAATGGTAAAGGAAGACCTTTCTCTCTGTCTCTCTCTCTCACTGTCCACTCTGCCTGTCAAAAAAAAAAAAAAAGCCCCAGATCCAGGTGCCAGTTCCTGGGAGGGCTACCCCCCCCCACCCCGGCTTGCAGAGGCTCACTTTCTAACTGCAGCCTCAGTTAGCCTGGGGTTTTTGTTTTGTTTTGTTTCGGCAGGGGGAGGTGTTCCTGTTGTGTCTTCTTACAGAAGCACTATTTCCTTCGTGAGTCTCCCCCCCCCCCATTATCTCATTTAATGCTAAGTATCTTCAAAACACTCCACCTCCAAATACCATAACACTGGGCTAGGGCTTCAACATAGAACTCTGGGGGGATGCAAACACCCAGTCCACAAGGAAGGACTTCCAGTGTGAGAGTGTTGTTCCATTACTATGTGGCAATTACAGCCTTTTCAATCGGTTACATACTTTCTGGATGTCACTTGAAATAAAGTTACAGAGCTAAGCTAACTTAAGGATTTGCTACTTGATGCCTTTATGGTTTTCATGTCTTTCTGTCTCTTTCAGCTTCCATATCCTCATTTAGAAAAAGGAGATTATGTCTACCTCATGGGATAGAGAAAACACTGAGCCAGTGGCTGGCTCAGAAAGTTGTCAATAAACACAGATTTTAAAAGCTATTTTTCTCACCCAATTTCCAATTAATTTGCTCATCACACACTTATCAAGTTCACCTTGAGCCACCCTGAGGTAAATAATTGAGGCTCTAACAGAAATGACTCAGCAGCTGTCTCTCCTTTTGAAACACAGGGGACTTGAAGGCCCTCTGCCGGAGCCAGGGGGAAAATCTTTCCAGCTCAAGCTGCTTTTTTTTTTTTTTTTCCTTTTTTACTAATGAAAATACTGGGGGGAGGGGGGATCATTAATTCAAAAATTAGTTCAAAAATATTATCAGCATTATAAAATGATGAAACAATTGGAAATCTGAATGTTTGATCATTAATTCTTGTTCAGTTGAGATAACAGTATTGTGGATTTTTTCCTCCCAAGAATCCTTAGTGTTCAGCTACTTGCTGAACAATTTCCAGATGAAATAAGAAGTTTGGGGGATTCAAGATGGTTGAATAGGGAACAGATGTGCTGATTTTGACCAGGGGAAGATTCCTAGGGTAGAGCTGGAAAGAAGGAAGATACCGCAGAGCAGCATGGGCAGGACAAACAGGCAGCAGCGAGTGCGGACATGACCCATGACTCCCGCAGCCAGGGACTGGAGGAGATGCCATTTTCAGAGAGTGAGGTCAAAGCAGACTGCAGCATTCCATGTCGTTGGTGACACATCCTGAGGGAGAATCCTGTGCACCACACTGACTCTGAGTCTGGCCTGGAGCCCGGGGGTACGGGGAGGGATGGGGAGTAAGGAACTCTCCGAACCCCACGAAGGGAGAGCACATTTCTTTTTCCCCATTCCCCGACAAGGGCACCCAGCAACCAGCAGGGAGAAAATGCCATTTTAATACAAGTAGAGGCTCACACACATGTTCATCTAGGGGATTTTATCAGAGGGATAAATCCACATTCCCTACTGACTTTAAGTCTGGACTGAAGGGTTGGCAGAAGACTGGGCAACCACTTAGGACTGTGAGGTACTCCCTTAACTTACTCTATCACAGGCTCCAGGGCTCAACCTGCCCAGGTGGACCACCCACAGGCAGCAGGCTCTGGGAGCGCCTCTGCTCTCTGTGGATGGGGCAGGCTCACAGAGCTGAGAGTGGACCTCTACCCTGTGACTGCAGGAGCCCTGCACACTATGACTGAGAATTCTGTGACTGTACCACAGCCTATGGCTGCGTCTCTGGGAAATCACTGTATCTGGCTTCAGAGGTTCAGAGTTCCCCTACAGCCTGAGATGGGTCATTGCAGAGGGTTCTATGCTCAAACCAGGTACTCTGTGTGGCTCATGCCCCTATGTGAGAGGGGATGGTAGCCACTGCGGACTAACTCCAGGCATTGATTACTTTGGAAGACAGAAGGTGATACTGTGATTATGCCAACAGATGGGATCATACCCTGCCCCCTGCTGACCATAGAAGAATCTACCATGCCCAACTTGGATGTCACCCTGGGCTCCTGCCCTACCCTTGGGCACCAACCAGAGCCCCCTGGACTCACCTAGCACAGCCCTCTGAATATCCACTGAAGGAGCATTCACTCTACCTAAGACACAGAGGTGCAGTTCAAGGAAAAAAGCCATCAGTAGGGGCCTGCGCTGTGGCGCAGTGGGAAAGCTGCTGCCTGCACTGCTAGCATCCGATATGGGCACCGGGTCAAATTCTGGGCTGCTCCATGTCTGATCCAGTTCTCTGCTATGGCCTGGAAAAGCAGTGGAAGATGGCCCAAGTCCTTGGGCCCTGCACCTGCATGGGAGACCTGGAAGAAGCTCCTGGCTTTGAATGGGCACAGATCCAGCTGTTGCAGCCATCTGGGGAATGAACCAGCAGCTGAAGACCTCTCTCTCTGTGTCTGCCTCTCTATAACTCTGCCTTTCAAATAAATAAATAAATATTAAATTAATAAAGCCATCAGTGGAAAACAAAGTGTTGGGGCTGGCGCTGTGGCGCAGCAGGTTAAAGCCCTGGCCTGAAGTGCCAGCATCCCAAACAGGCGCCGGTTCAAGACCCAGCTGCTCCACTTCCAATCCAGCTCTCTGCTATGGCCTGGGAAAGCAGTAGAAGATGGCCCAAGTCCTTGGGTCCCTGCACCCACATGGGAGACCTGGAAGAACCTCCTGGCTTCAGATCAGCGCAGCTCCAGCTGTTGCAGCCATCTGGGGAGTGAACTAGCGGATGGAAGACCTCTCTCTCTCTCTGCCTCTCCTCTCTTCGTGTAACTCCAACTTTCAAATAAATAAATAAATCTTTTAAAAAAAAAGAAAAAAAGTGTTTCCACAAACACCTAAAAATAAATGCAGAATTACAAAAAACAAGAACAAGGAAGACGACTGGCATCGTGGTTCAATAGGCTAATCCTCCACCTGCGTCGCCGGCATACCGGGTTCTAGTCCCGGTCGGGGCGCCAGATTCTGTCCCGGTTGCCCCTCTTCCAGGCCAGCTCTCTGCTATGGCCCGGGAGTGCAGTGGAGGATGGCCCAAGTGCTTGGGCCCTGCACCCCATGGGAGACCAGGAGAAGCACGTGGCTCCTGGCTTCAGATCAGCGTGGTGCGCCGGACGCAGCAGCCATTGGAAGGTGAACCAATGGTAAAGGAAGACCTTTCTCTCTGTCTCTCTCTCTCACTGTCCTCTCTGCCTGTCAAAAAAAAAAAAAAAAAAAAAAAAAAAAAAAGAACAAGGAAGACAAAATGACTCCCCAATCCAAGAGGAACTCAACACTTCAATATCAGAATGTGAAGACAGAGAGATTGATGAAATGCCTGAAAATGGATTCAAAAGAATGATCCCTGGGGCCAGCGCTGTGTGTATTATAAAACAACAACAACAACAGCAAACACCACATTTCCTCTGCTTACTGAAAAGAAACAAGAGGAGTTCAAGGTCATGGTTAAATATCAGGCCATCAGTATCAGTCCTGGAGACGGTAATCATTAGCAAGAGCCAAATCTAGTTATCTGTTCTTGAGTGCAGGAGAGGAAAACCCGTGGACCAGTGGTCTGATGTGGGATGCCAGCATCATGAGCAGCAGGGTAACACACTGCACCACAACACTGGTCCTTGTTTTGTTCTTAGAAACACAAGTATCTATCATCATTTCCTTCAGGATCAAGAGATCTGGGTCTGGGCTCAGTCTGCTCCTGGCCCTGATGATTGTCTCACAAAAGCACAAAGGGCATCAGATGTGCAATGGTAAAAGATTTTTCTCAACAGATAAATGAGTCACAGTTCATGCCAAATAGTGTATTGTTCTTGCAGGACATAATAAACATGATAATGAGAACTAAGTGATTGAAAACCTCAAGATTAAGAAACAATTATGAGTTTTATCAACCAACTGTGTGGCACTGAACAGGAGATTTAGCTTTCTGAGCCTCAAATACCTCACTGGAAAAATGGCAATAATTATGTGATCTCCCCAAGAATTACCACAATGATTAAATGAGAATGTATCCAAAACAATTAGGACTCCCACCTGCCACACATACTTAACATTTAATAGATGATTATTCATGTTACAGAGACTAATTGAGGACCAATTCTATGATAAAATAAGGACTTCATCTAAACCTGGATTTAGAAAATGATGGTCCATGGGTCAATTGCAGCCCATTGCTTATTTTTGTAAATAAGTTTTATTGGAACCCAGCCACATACATATTTATATCATCACTGGTTGCTTGCACTAAAATGGCAGAGTTTAATCATTGCAACTGTCAACATCTATAATATTTACCATCAGACACTTTACATGAACAATTCAACAACTGCAGTATAATCATTCCTATTTTATCATTGAGAAGCTGGGGTTTAGAAGGTAAGTAACTTGCCCAGACTCACTCAGTCGGTGAGTATCAAGAACACCACCGAGACTGTCTTCTGACATCATCATCCAGTCTCCTATCACAGTCATTTTCCCACCTCATGAGAACTTTGCGACAAAACAATGAGAAGATACAGTAGGTCAAAGAATTCCAAGGTGCAGGAGTATTAGACCATCCAAGATATCATAAGTACTTTCTCTACAGGCCATCCTGAGTGTCTCTGTCCCTTTACAGAAGTGACTCTGGCTGGCGCCGTGGCTCACTAGGCTAATCCTCCGCCTTGCGGCGCCGGCACACCGGGTTCTAGTCCCGGTTGGGGCGCCAGATTCTGTCCTGGTTGCCCCTCTTCCAGGCCAGCTCTCTGCTGTGGCCCGGGAGTGCAGTGGAGGATGGCCCAAGTGCTTGGGCCCTGCACCCGCATGGGAGACCAGGTGAAGCACCTGGCTCCTGCCTTCGGATCAGCGCAGTGTGCAGGCCGCAGTGCGCCAGCCGTGGCAGCCATTGGAGGGTGAACCAACGGCAAAAGGAAGACCTTTCTCTCTGTCTCTCTCTCTCACTATCCACTCTGCCTATCAAAAAGAAAAAAGAAAAAAAAAGAAGTGACTCTGTGCATCGGTGCAGAAGAACCAACATTGCCCTGGGATCTCAACCACCCCCCGCACACCCCCTATAAAGCCCCCAGCATCTCTGCCATAATTTTCCCCAGCAGACAACACAAACTTTGTGAGTTCCATTAGAGCATAACTAGTACCAGTCCATTCAACACTGCCCCATCACAAAGTGGGGTCCTGTCCTGTGGTTCCCTAGCCCTGCTGGTCCACCAAGGAAAAGTTTTCATTCCTGGGTTTTAATAAGAACGGGGACAGACACAAACCAGACCCAGCTCTTCTGAGGGAAGGGCAGGTGAGCTACCGAGCCCAGCCCTTGTCTGGTGAATTCATGGCACTGAGCTGACCAGAGTTCTCTCACAGGCTGGGGTGTTATGAAGGAGAGGCTGTGTTATCAACCCAACAGCCTTCTTAACACAGAGGCAAACACACAAAAACAGTGTCCAAAAAATGACAGGTATGATCATTGTATATGTGGAAGCTTGCTAAATAAATCAATCAGTGGAAAATGGTCTCATCACAAATTTCTCAGCACCATGGTAGTAAACAACATATGCACCCTTATTTAAAATGTATTTTCCACATTTTTCAATTTGTATTATCCTTCCAAAAATCTTGAAGAAAATAAAAAAAGCTTTTAAACCCCATTTCACAGAGGAAAGGAGATTAAAGAGGTTAGATAATGCTCCCACTTCAGAGAGCCAGAGGGGAATGCAGGAGGGATCTGACCAAGCAGTCTTATATTTCTTCCAGCAAACCACACTGCCTCTCTTCCAGAGAGCCAGATGCAACAGCTGAATTTGTATACCCGCTCCCCACACAAGCATCTTTCTGTTTTGTCTCTCTTCCCTTCTCTGTGAAGTCCACCTCCCTATCCCACCCATTGTCAGGACAAAAAGGAACTAGGATGATTCTATACCAGATATTTCTGCTTTTTAAAAAGTGGCCTTGGGTTTCTTGGAAAGTTTTATGTTGCAACAACAGAAAGTAAAGAAAACTTAACTCGCCGCTTGCACTCAGAACAGCACACGACAGTTTACTGGAGCACAGTGATTGGGCTTAAAGGTATCAAGCTCTCATGCCTGTCTCTACACATCTATCCCTCAACCTCACTGCAGTAAAGTTTCACAGGATCCACTTTCCTCAGAAGAATATAAGTAATACAAGTTCCAATTACATAGGAAAAACAGAAAAACCCAAAACCATATTCAGCAGACATATCTGCCCATGACAAGTTCCAAGTGCTAGTACACAAGCTTAGCAACACGGGATGTGTTCCAGTCATGCCGTCAGTGTGTGCCTGGCTCAGTCATCCAAGACCTGACGCACATCACCTCCGACGCCCTGGGAAATACACGTAAGGACCAGCCTAGCAACCCCTTGCTCCCTTCCAGATTGCCTCTGTCAGATTCTGATCCTCTCTAACCCTGAGGTGGGCCATGAGGGAGGGGTTCATACCGGCTGCATGAACACTGGGACAGAAGATGAGCTTTGAGTGCTTCAACGCAAGAGTATTATTCGGCTGCTCCTGCCTGGGAACATCAACTCGCCATTCAACTCTGCAGCTGTTTTCTGTACTTGTCTACACAGGGACAATCCTCCTTGAAAGCCTAAGAGTGCTGCCTCAGACTTGTCACTGTTTAGCAAATACAAGCTGCTTGGGTTGAAGGCCTGAACAACAATCTAGAGAAGGCACCTGAACAGCTGCTGCTGCCGTTAAGAAGTTACATGGTTCAGGAAGAGAGTGTGGTTCTACCGGAAATCCAGGACTGTGAAGACACTGTAGAAAACTTCTTGGCCATACAACTAGGGGAAGGGGTGGTGGTTGAGTTTTTTATTCCAACACTTTACTTCATTTTACATGGACACAAAACCCAGGTCCCTACTATTCCTCATTGTCAGGAGTGTCTGTATAACACAGTTGGTTTCACTAGACAAGTAAATGAGGTCAGTATCACCCTGATGCAAGACTTGAGATTTGAAAAGAGACAGTCAATACTCATCATCATCACCATTCAGTCAAACGTGATTGAATACAGGTCTTTTAGACCCTGTGGATATCTGTTCTTCAAAACATTGAAGATGACTGCAGACTTGGCCTTAGAAAAAAATCAGACACTGAGTTTGCTCCACCTGACACTGTTCCTGATGTTTCTTTTCCTCCTCCTCCCAGGATTCAGCTCAGTTATTCAGACATGAAGGCAGCAACCCAAGAAGTGACAGCTTCCGAGGATGCTCTAACAGTATGACTTTGCTCAAAGTACCCGGATGTTGGGTGATTTGTTCCACTGCACAAAACCAAATAATGCCTGGGTCCAGCTCCCACATCTTAGAGGGCAAATACAAGGCTTTGGTAAAGATGTTACAAATCCTTACCACCTGATGAGCTATAATCACCCTCCCTCTGGTAACCAAAACCACACATGACTTCCTTTGATAACCTCCATACTATTAGTCTCCTCAGGAAGCATTCTGCCAGACTTTCAGTCATGTCAGTGGTCTCTACAAAATCACACAGGTCGGGGCCGGCATTGTGGCACAGGGGGTTAAGCAGATGCCTGTGACACTGGCATCCCATATGGGTACCAGTTTATGTCTGTGCTGCTCCATTTCCAACCCAGCTCTCGGCTAACGTACCTGTAAGGCAGCAGAAAATGGCCCAGTGCTTGTGCCCGCCACCCACATGAGACCCAGAAGCAGCTCCTGGCTCCTGACTTTGGTCTGGCTCAGCAATGGCTATTGCAGCCATTTGGGAAGTGAATTAGCAGATGGAAGACTTCTCTCTCTCTCTCTCTCTCTCTCTCTCTCTCTCTCTCTCTCTCTCTCCCCCCCCCCCCTTTGGTTTCTCCTTCTCCCTATAACTCTGCCTTTTATATAAATAAATAATCTTTTTAAAAAGTCACACAGGCCTTTACAAAACTCCACCTTACCTTCTCAGTCTGGTGAACATAATGTAAAAAAAGAGATGGATTTCCTTCGAAGATTTCAGTGTTCCCATCTATGATTCAACTAAGGAATCTGGCTGTTTTTTTTTTTTTTTTTTAAGATTTATTTATTTCTTTGAAAAGCAGAGTTACAGAGAGGCAGAGGCAGAGACAGAAGTCTTCCATCTGCTGGTTCACTCTCCAAATGGCTGCAACAGCAAGAGCTGGGCCGATTCAAAGCTAGGAGCTTCTTCCAGGTCTCCTATGTGGGTGCAGGGGCCCAAGGACTTGGGCCATCTTCCACTGCTTTCTCAGGCCCTAAGAGAGAGCTGGGTCAGAAGTGGAGCAGCTAGGACTCAAACCAGCACCCATATGGGATGCCAGCACTGCAGGCGGCAGTTTTACCCGCTACACCAAGGCACTGACCCCAAGAATTTGGCTGCTTTTACCTGAGCCAGGGGCTCGTCCTCGTTTGGAGGCCTACTAGCTTGACCAGCTCTTCTGCATCTGTTTCTAGGGTCACGCATGATGCATTCATCCAACATGAGTTCCAGTGCTGCAATATAATGTGAGCATATATGAATACAGTCTTAGTGTTACTGAGTCTTCCATGAGACAGAACATTTACACTTTCAGTTTTCAATTTGTTATTTATTTAGAAGGCAGAGAGAGAGAGAGAGATTCCACTAGTCCACCTCCTAAATGTTCACAATGCCTGGAGGTGGGCCAAGCTAAAGCTGGAAGGCAGGAACCCAAGTACCTGAGCTATCACCTGCTGCCTCCCAGGGTGCACATTAATGGAAGCTGGTATCAGAAGAGGGTCCAGCCATCAAAGAATGAGGTATCTTTCTCTGAAGGAAGGAGAGAATTTCCACTTTGATTATGGCCCTGTCTAAATAAGGTCGGAATTTGTAGACTCAAAAGGCTTCCATAGCCTTGGAAGCCCGTGATAAGAGCCTCGAGTGATCATTGACATCATAAATAAGAGTGTCAATTGTTAAATCTACAACAGGAGTCACTGTGCACTTGCTCCCCATGTAGGACCTCTGTCCTTAATGAGTTGTACTATGAGAATTAACTGCAAAACTAGTCTTCAAACAGTACTTTATATTTTGTGTGTCTGTGTGGGTGTAAACTGTTGAAATCTTTACTTAATATAAAGTTATCTTCTGTATATGAAGATAATTAAAAATGAATCTTAATGAAGAATGAGATGGGAGAGGGAGTAGGAGGTGGGACAGGAGTGGGGGTGGGTAGGTGGGTATGGGGTAAAGAACTGCTATATTCCAAAAAGCTGTACCTATGAAATTTTATTTATTAAGCAAAAGCTTTCAAAAAATTTTTAAAAAAGTGGGTCGAGGGCTGGCGCTGTGGCATAGCAAGTAAAGCCACTGCCTGCCGTGCTGGCATCCCATATGGGCTCCAGTTCAAGAGCCGGCTGCTCCACTTCCAATCCAGCTCTCTGCTATGGCCTGGGAAAGCAGTAGAAGATGGCCCAAGTTCTTGGGCCCCTGCACTCACGCAGGAGACCTTCAGGAAGCTCTGGGCTCCTAACTTCAGCCTTGCCCAGCCCTGGCCGTTGCTGCCATTTGGGGTGTGAACCAATGAATGGAAGATCTCTCTCTCTCTCTCTCTCTCTCTCTGTCTGTCTTTCTCCCTCTAACTCTTCCAAACAAATAAAAATAAATCTTATAAACACAAAGCACAGACCACACAAAATCCCACTCAGGCACATAGAAGACTGGACAAACGTATACTACTTTAGGAGCTGGGAATTGCATTCTAACAGCCCTGACCTACTGCAGAGCCCATCAGCCTCACTGGAAACTGGAAGTTGGAAGTGAGTTGCTAAAATGATATTCATTTTCATCTCACTCATGACTACCCATCAGTCAAGAAAACGAGACACAAGACAGATGTTAACAAGAAACAGCATTTCTGCTGAGGTCTTGCTACATCTGTAAAGTATCATAATACATGACTTCAAAAAGTTAATGGAAATGTATATTATGAAGAAAGTAGATCTAGCAGGGCCAGCATTGTGTTATTAACAGGTAAAGCTACCACATGTAATGCTGGCATTCCATTTGGGCACCGGTTCATGTCCTGGCTGCCCCACTTCTGATCCAGCTGCCTGCGAAGGGCCTGGGAAAAGTAACTAAAGATGGTCAAGTGCTTGGGCCCTGATATCCACATAAGAGACCTGGAAAAAGCTCCCAGCTCCAGGCTTCGGCCTATAATCCTATAATCTTCCTTTGGGTAAATGCTCCATTATGTCTCTCCCTATCCACTGCAATCTCCCCTCGTTGCCATGGATCAACAGACCTGATTTTGTTAACCATGCATTTCTTCCTGGTGGTTTACATTGATTGGGTGTGGACCCTGTCTTGCTCAGCTTTAGGTTCCTAAGGTTGCAAATGCTGAAGACAGATTTAACACACATTTTTTTACTGCTAAATACATATGCACAAGTCACCCTGCCAGGTGGTCATGCATGAACATGATCACCACTCCTATTTGGACATAACTAGAATTTGTTCACACTCCAGCAAGGTTCCAGGAACAAGAAAGCCAGGCTGGAAAGGGTGTAGGGAATGGAGAGAGAAAGTGAGCAAAGGAGAGAGGTACAGGTGTACAGTCGGATAGAATGTTTTAATGTTTTACAGCACAGTAGGATTACTATGGTTAACAATTACCAGTGTCTTTCAAAAGAGCTAGTACAATTTTGAATATTCCCAAAACACACGAAAAGATGGATATACCAATTACACTGATCATTGCACACTATATACATGTATTGAAATATCACACTGAACCCCCTAAATATGTATATTGTGTTAAAAATAAGTTTAAAAAAAAAAAAAAACATAAAATCGGGGTTCTGGTAGGCTTCTGGTTCCCTTCCATATTTTTATTCTCTGAGGCTCCAGACATTTTACCTGCTCAACTGATGATGCCTCTATGTCCAGTGGCTGAAAAAGGTGGCATCTACTCAGCTGAAGCTCAGGGAAATAACGGGGTCCAGCCGGTACAGGTAGACAGTCCTAGCTACGTGGAACCCCCAGTGACCTTCGTCGCTGCTGGGCAACTCCCTCGCTCCCCATCGGGCCTAGTACCAGGGCTGCGCTCCCGCACACGCCCACGACGGGAAGCCGAAGCACCGGCCCGCCCTGCCCCTTGCCACAACAGCAGCGGGTCACGGCTCTCGGGACAGCTCCCACCAAGTACCAGCTAAGCGATCCTAGGTGCGAGACTGTCTTTCAGGCTCCACGTTTGCTACAGGTGCAGACCTCGCCTCGCCCTTCCTCTTTAAGATGCAACGTTAGACAAAGGGGGAGTCCAGAGTCAACTACCGAGAACCGCGGAGCGATGCGGCACGCCATCTCAGCTCCTGGCGTTCAGTTGCCCTTCCTCTCCGTTATTGGAAGAACCGGTTGAGCGGACCGTAGGAGGGCGTGGCTCTGCGCGTGGAGGCCGAACTACAAGGGCGCGCGCCCACGATCCCATCTTTACTCCTGGCGTCGCCCTCAACTTGCCCTTCTTCTGTGATTGGACAAAGAGAGCTTCCGGTAAGCAAGTGGCCGGTCAGCGGAGCCCCGCGCGTTTCGAGTGGTCGTCCGGTGTCCTGTACCTGCTAACGGCTGTGACCTGACACCCTGGGCTCCCGAGGAGCACAGGGCTTCCTTGGGGAGAGTTAAAGGAACTTGGAGTGTGAAGACGGCCTGGGGCTGCCTGGGAAGGGGACTGGAGATGCTTCTCGAGGGTGCACTACGGTTCTCCGGGGAGAAAGAGCACGTTCTAGGACAGGCGGCCCCCTGCATAAAGAAGCCGGAGACTTGGGGCGCAGAGCGGGCGGCCGGGGACAAAGGCAGGAACGCGTTGTGGGGTGAGGCTGTGGAGGGCCTTGGACGCCAAGCCGGGGCGTTTGCGGCTGATACTGTGGCCAGGGGGTAAAAGCGAGCTTTCCGGGGATGGAATCAAATCGTGCAGTTGGGAAAGCTGTTATTATTAATATTAAAATAATTAATAAAGCTAACCTATAATATTTGAATGAATCTCAAAGTTTGTTCAGTGAACCATTTGGGGAGCTTGTTTTGAAACGCAGATTCATGGCACATTTAAAACAGGGACTCGAGGCCGGTTCGAGTGCTGGCTGCTGCTCCTCTTCCGATCCAGCTCTCTGCTGTGGCCTGGGAAGGCAGTAGAAATGGCCCAGGTCCTTGGGCCCCTGCACCCGCGAGGGAGACCCAGAAGAAGCTCCTGCCTCCTGGCTCCAGATCAGCTCAGCTCCGGCCGTAACGGCCATTTGGGGAGTGAATCAGCGGATGGAAGACCTCTCTCTCTCTCTGCCTCTCCTCTCTGTAAACTCTGCCTTTCAAATAAATAAATCTTAAAAAAAAAAAAAAAACCTGCAAAACTCCATTAGAAAAACTTTTAATATTATAACAAATGTTTGGAGGGGGAAATGCACCAATCCTAAGGACAAGGTTTTGAATTTTCTCAAGCTAAACACTCCTGGAGAAACACTGCTGCCTGCACCCAGGGTAAACACAGTCATTACTCCTAGCAGCCATTTATTCGTTTTGATGTTTAAGCCCTATGTAAACAAAATCACACAGCATATATTCCTTGTGTCAGCTGACTTTCACTAGTGTTAGGTGTGAAATTCACCCGAGTTCCATGTACGGACTACCAAAGCTCATTCCCTTGTTGTGGGCCTTTGGGTAGTTTCCAATTAAGGGCTATTATTCACTCCTGCCCCACCACCACCACCAACACAGAAAAGCTGGTATGAATATTCTCATTCATGTCTTTGACTTTGTGAATTGCAAGCCAAGATACTGAGGCCTAAGGATTAAGTCATTCACCTTAATCTGAGTCTCAGAGTGGCAGTGTGCTAAGGTCAACAGAAAAGACAGCCCCAGACTGGGGAGGTGGGGTTCTGGGTAGGGGGCAGATGGCCAGGATACTGCCTTCACAGTATTTATAATTGGCACAAAATTACAATAACCTAAGTGGACAGAAAAATAAGTCAAATGATTACAACTGTCATAATAACCCAGAGGGAAATAAAAACAGACAAGGGGAGACTAAGGTACTTTTACGTGGTAGCCAGGTTAAGTCTATCAGAAGAAACCAAGAAAAGAGACGAGTTCTCATGCAGATGGAAGAGCATCCCTTGCAGGGGAGACACCATGTGCAAAGGTCATAGGAGAGACCTAGGCCTATGCAAGGCCAGTGTGGCTGAAATACAACGATGAGGAAGGAGTGTCTAAGTGGATTTGGATATAGGAGCATTTGATGCAAGATCACAGGAAGCTGTTCAGATTTTAAATACTGTTACAACATCTTAAGGAGTGGTGTGAACTGCTTTGCTTCTTTTAAAGATCCCTGACTGCCAAGCAGAGAATAGCGAGAGCCAGGCCTTGGAGGCTGCTGCGGCAGTGCTGGGGAATGAGCCAGCACAAAGCCTAGAGAAAGGCTTGAGATGTATTTGGGAACTGTCAGCACCAAGATCACTTAAGTGATGAAGAGTGGCAGTCACACTGTGCAGTGTGTTATGTGATGCACTAAGGACACAGCATTGCTATCGAAAGTGCAGTCTGACTCTTCACGAGGAGACTGCCAGCAACACTGTAGGGATTCAGCTTGACACAACCGCAGCCTTCTTGGTTTCCATCCTGCCTATTAGGCGATCCTGGGCCGGCGCCGCGGCTCACTAGGCTAATCCTCCTCCTTGCAGCGCCGGCACACTGGGTTCTAGTCCCGGTTGGGGCGCCGGATTCTGTCCCGGTTGCCCCTCTTCCAGGCCAGCTCTCTGCTGTGGCCAGGGAGTGCAGTGGAGGATGGCCCAGGTGCTTGGGCCCTGCACCCCATGGGAGACCAGGAAAAGCACCTGGCTCCTGGCTCCTGCCATCGGATCAGCGCGGTGTTCCGGCCGCAGCACGCCGGCCGCGGCGGCCATTGGAGGGTGAACCAACGGCAAAGGAAGACCTTTCTCTCTGTCTCTCTCTCTCACTGTCCACTCTGTCAAAAAAAAAATAATAATAATTTAAAAAAAAATAATAAAATTAGGCGATCCTGGCATTCATCCCAAACCTTTGGGATAAAGTTGTCGTGGAGTCTGCTAGGCATCTCATGTCAGGCCTGACACCTGGGATGTCCTTTAATTGACATCTAAACTATTAAAATTTCTTGAAAAACTCCAAGATAGTTTGCCTGGCCAGGGGCTTCCTGGGCTTCTGGATGTGGGCAGCCACTTGTCTTGGGTTACCCAAGACTCTGTTCCTGTTGATTTTAAAAATCCCCAACTTGCATTCTGTGTAATCCTGAACTGGTTTGTGTCTTTCTTGAGTCTCATGGATCCTTCTACCTTTGACAGCCAGTTTCCACATACTGGGATTTCTTAAAAAAAAAAAAAAAAAAAAAATATATATATATATATATATATATAGAGAGAGAGAGAGAGAGAGAGAGAGAGAGAGAGAGACAATCTGCCAAACCAATTAGCCTGAAAAAAAAGTGGGGGGGGGGGGTCGGCACTGTGGTGCAGTGGGTTAAAGCCCTTGCCTGAAATGCTGGCATCCCATATGGGCGCCAGTTCTAGTCCCGGCTGCTCCTCTTCTGATCCAGCTCTCTGCTATGGCCTGGGAAAGCAGCACCCGTGTGAGAGACCTGGAGGAAGCTCCTGGCTCCTGGCTTCGGGTCAGCTCAGCTCTGGCCACTGTGGCCATCTGGGGAGTGAACCAGTGGATGGAAGACCTCTCTCTCTCTGTCTCTCTCTCTGTAACTCTTTCAAATAAATAATAAAATAAATCTTTTAAAAAAATTAGCCTGTACTGTTTAGAAGTGTTAAGTATCAAGAAAAACTACGAAAGGCTTAGGAATGATTGCAGACTTAAAAAAAAAAAAAACAGTAGAATGACAGGTGTTTGGCACAATGGTTAAAATGTCACTTGGGACACCCATATCCCAGACTGGAGTGTCTGGGTTTGAATCCTGGCCCTGCTTCTGATTCCAGTTTCCTGTCAATGCGCACTCTGGTGGGCAGCAGGTGATGGCTCAAGTGCTTGGGTCCTTGCTACCTACGTGCGAGACCTTGTTTGTCTCTTTCAAATAAACTTTAAAAATACACTGAAAAGTAATAACAGTAGACACCTGATAACTAGGTGGAACTCATAATCCTTGATCATACTGAGCCAGGGGAAAAAATTTTTTTTTTTAGGTTGTATTTATTTGAAAGGCAGAGAGGGAGAGACAGATCTTCCATCCACTCTTCACTCCCCAAATGCCTGCAACAGCCAAGGCTGGGCCAGGCAGAAGCCAGGAGCCAGGAACTCCATCCTGGTTGTCCCATAAGGGTGGCAGGAGACCAAGTAACCAAGGCCATTTTTTCTAATTTTCTTGAAATGGGACAACTGATAGCATTTGATACCGCAGAACTGATGAGAATTGTATAAACCTTCAGATTTTTAAAAAAGAGATTTATTTATCTATTTGAAAGTCAGAGTTACAGAAGGAGACAGAGATGTTCCTTCCACTTGCTGGTCCATTCCCCAGATGGTCGCAATGGCTGGGGCTGGACCAGGCCGAAGCCGGGACTCAGGAGCTTCATCTGGGTCTCCCCAGGGCACCCTGCCCAGGCACCTGGGCCATCCTCCACTGCTTTCCCAGGTGCATTAGCAGGGAGCTGGACTGGAGTCGAGCGGCAGACAGTGGAAACCGAGATGGCGGCTTAATCTGACACGCCACAGCGCGGAACCCAATCGTCCAGAATTTTATAACTGATAATGTTAAAGAACGCCTTGGTTGTTAGGAAGCACACATTTAAGAGGTTAGAGATAATGGGACATCCCGCCTGAGTTTCCTCTCAAATGGTTTACAATTAGATGATAGGATAAAAGAAACGTAAATAGCATCCAAGGAACCTAGAAGGATTTCTGGGAATCATTAGTCCTATTTAAACTATGTTTCTGTACGTTAAAATACAAGTTAACAAAGATTTCCTAGAGAAGGTGAGAAACCAAAAACCCTAATATTTGCATAGCCAAAAACACCCCGCAGAGGACTGAGTATTAGAAAGAAGGCTGCAAGATGCAGAGTTTTAACGTAAGGCAAAGTTTCTGTGCGGTCCTGTAACCTAACGACCCAGGAATGCAACTCACCTAGGCCAATCACCAAACCTAGCCAGATTACAAGAGACTCGCCTCAGAGAGAAAGCCGGCTCCGCCATGTTTTCCCAGCGAGCCCCGCGCGCGCGCACGCAGCACGCAAGTACGCAAGCACGCACGACCAATCGGCGCCCACGTCTGCGTGTCGGTCGCCGCACGAGTGGGCGGCCTTCTGCGCTTGCGCAGCGGAGGGCGGGCCTTCTTCCTTCTCGCCGAACGCCGCCGACATGGTGAGTCGCGTCGTTCCTGGCTCCCGCTTCGGCGAGCATGCTGCTCGGCGTCCGCCGCGGCGGGGGAGCCCAAGCGCTTAATGGCGGCTGGAGGGTCGTGGGAAGTGCGCGGTGAGGGTCCTCGAGCAGGCTGTGCGCGGGGTGCGGGCCGTGCCGGGAGCGCTGCTAGCGAGCGCGTGGAGGGCCCGACGGGCCGGGCGCGCCCCGGGCCACGCGAGCCCTGCGCCCTGGCGGGGCTGGGCTGGGCTGGACGGCTGAGGCTGCGGGCTGCTCGCCGCGGCCGCCCGAGCCGGGCGGAGCTTGGGCAGGCTGGCCTTGTTTTTTTTTTTTTTTTTTTTTTTTAATGCCGTTTTTTTCCCCACTCGTAGGTGTTCAGGCGCTTCGTGGAGGTTGGCCGAGTGGCCTACGTCTCCTTCGGGCCTCATGCCGGGAAGCTGGTCGCCATCGTGGATGTCATTGACCAGAACAGGGTGAGTGGCGGTGGGTGGGTGGTCGGCGCTGTCGGTCATGGCGGCCGTTTCGGGGGCCTCCGAGGTGGGAGTCCGGTGGGTAGCGACAGTGTTTAATCATTGAGACGAGTAGGGTG